GGGGGGGGGGGGGGGGGGGTGTGGCATCACCTGCCTGCACTTCAAAGGCAATTATGCCTCAATGTGCATGTGCACTTGAACAAGCATTGATTGACGGTTCAACACCTTTTTTGAACTCTATATTATAATTTTCACATATTAATGAAATGTCTATTTTCTTAACCAAAAAAAGATCACTGAACGTGAAAATGGTGAAAATGATGTCCAGAGGAACCAAATGATACTAGCTTAACCATTCTGATATGAAACCAAATTCTTCTGATAGTTGATATAGAGAAATTTTGAAGAGAATCCAAAACAAAACCAATTACCTTCTCCTGTGTTCTGTCTCTATTTTGTAACTTAAACATCTTTGAAGAAACAATGGCTACAATGAACAAAAAAGAAAGATTAGTATAATATGGGCCAAACAACACAAATATGACAATTGCATTTTATTTTCGATCAACGACCTTTCAAAACTATCCAAACTTTCCAGATCAATCTCAAGTTGTTCTTACGAGTCTTGCCTCATTATATATCATGTATTATCTCCAATTTGGAGAGAGAGAAAAACAAGCTAAAATGTATTACATTTCTAATAGCACGCCGTTGAAGAATGTTATAGAGTTCAACTGGCTTGCAGTAAAGTGAGAGGCTCTCTTCTGCAGCAATTTCCTCTTCTTCAGATAGATGAACACGAGATTCTACACGGCACATCTGATCTGCGTTTCTGGAACAGCTGGGAGAGCAACTAAAGATTACTAATATGCAACAACAGCAAAGTTAAAAGAAGAAAGAACAAGAATAAGAACAACCACATAAAAAGGTAGACAGTCAGAAATCATGGAGGAAAATTTAAAATTCTCTCTTGAGGCATATGAACTTAAGCACTGAAGTTCTTCTACCACAATCACGACCCTCCCAGACACAAGAACTTCTCACAATAGTTTTTCCATATGTGTTGGTGATTGTACCAGCAACAAACTATGAAGTTACATGCTACATCCGGCCATAAGAAGTTATCAACTCTTACAGCTCATTTAAATCTCGAAAGTCAAAATATTTCTCAGATGATATGATCCTTCCAGAAAAATCAAAGCTACAAACAAATCTTACTTCTATTACGTTTCATTAGAGAGCTCGGGGTTAGAAAGACTGATGGAAATAAATAGCACGTACGAAGTTTCACGAGTCACGAGAGGTATGCCAGGCATTCTTCTCCAGCAATTTCAATTACAATCTCATGGCAACTCTAGACTTACAAGGCTTGACGCCCCCAACACATCCCCTTTACGCATCCGCTACAGAACACTGCAACATTTGAAACGAAGAAAGATAGAGCCTCAACACTAATTCAAAATACCACTACACATTAACAACACAAGAACCCCCATAGCTGTTTCGCAACTCATTTCCATAAATTTGAGCTCAGATAAAGAGATACGAACTTCCTAAGGCTATGCAGGAGACGAATCGAAGTTTTCTCAACTTCAAGCGGTCGAGTTCCACCCAAAAAAAAAAAAAAAAATCATTCAATATGAAAATAGGAGAAGCTTAAACAATTAGAGTGTAGGAGCTCCAATTTTACAAAACGAGCAAAACCAAGTTCTCCACACTTTAACAAACTCGAACTCTGAGGCCAAAGGCGCTTTAGCAACAAAATGAAACTACAGACAGAAAATTAAGCTGAAGATAGAAATGGAAATGCAGAAACAAGTAGAACAAGTGAAATTTAGCGAAATTAACATCGAACCTGGTTCCATTAATAGTAAAAGCATACCTACAGTAGCTCAGAGTTCTCGATGTTGCTCCTATGTCGGTTCAAGCAGAGAGAGAGAGAGATCGATAAGATATAGAACGGTGATTACAACGAAAAATGGATCGAACTGACACTCACAGTCGCAGCACCAGCAAGGTAACCTTTGCCCTTTGGAGCCTGGAAGTTCTTTCGTTTTCCTTTAATTGCAAAAATACCCTCGTAATTTTCATTTTTCCCAAATTACCCCAATTTTCTCTTCAAATTAAAAAATACCCCATAATAATAATTATTTTAGTTAACTCCAAATAAATAATGAGTCATTTGGTGCGTTCGTTCGTGGTTAGAAATCTCAAAATCCTAATAAGCTTGTATATTGTACTTGAACTATACCGAGAGGTGTTTTATGTCGGGGTTGTTCCTCTCGTTAGATCTCTTATTGGTCAATCGAGCTCGACGGGATCTATCATGTTAGTACTGATATATGTCGTGTGTAGAATTTGTGTGTTCATGTCCTCCATAGACTATCTTAAATATTATCCAATGAAACTTGTCCAGTCGTTGTCGGTGCTAAATGAGAGATGTCTTAGATCCTTCTGTGTTCTTTCTTGGGATCTCTTTCCTTAATCCTAGCTTTTGTTTTTTTCGTCTGTTTCCACTGTTTAACCGTGTCTTGATTTCAAACGGTGAAATTTCCGTACTATATATTTATTTAATATATTTTTGAGTGCTAAGGTAATTAATATTTATAAAATATGTGGTAATAAAAGACTTGAACTCCCTTATCGATGAATAATGGTCATTTTCTTAGTAACTGTTCTCTTTATTTAGTAACATAGTTAATTTGTTTCTTAAAACTGAGTATAAGTGTTTCTGTAATTGGCAAGTTTGATATGAGATTTAGTAGGTAATTTTGGTAATATGGACTGTAAATAAATTTTTCTAAAAAAATAATTTCATTTAATTCAATGCATCAAAATATGCAATTTTACGTTAACTTTACAACCACGTTTGAAGAAACTTAAAATTTAAATCAGTCTCGAACAGATAAAAGAACCAATGAAATACAGTCTTATATATGTTTAGCCATAAATTAATTGCAAATTAGTCAAGAGTACTATAGTCGACTTTTAGGTCACTTAGTGATATATTGTCCAGTGATTATTATTATTTAGATTTAGACTGTTTTTTAGTCATTAAATTTAATTTTAAAAATTGAAACTCGATAGGTTACTCAATTTATATTTGAGTTGATTAACTGGTCTACAAATATGATAGGAATATTTAAAAATTTATAATTAAATATGTATAATCATATGGTTATAGATTTATTTATAATTAAATGTTTAAAAAGTTAATTAGGAGAGTATTTAATAATAATAATAACAACAACCGAGCTTAATGTCTATTCATGGAGCTAACCCAACTTAGCAATCCTAAAACAAGTCTTACATAACGTTGAATATTATTAACCATCCAAACAGTAGCTATACTAATACGGTGTTAATTCAATCATAAACGAATTTTAGACTGTTCAAATTAGTCGAGCTAACCGAGTCAACGGAACCAAATTGAGCCGAAAGGAGCCATGGTTAGGGACACTCAACGTCCACGACTTGCTTAGGATTAATATTACTTTTCTTATTTTAAATAAATTAAAATAAAATAAAATAATCCAAGTGAGATTTAAAATTGGATTACCTTATATGATTTTTAGGATATAATTAACAATATCCAGATAGAGGAACAAATAAGAAAATAAAATAAAGATAAGATAAAATATTGGAAAAAAAGAATAATGAATTTAAATATATTTGACATAAATATCCTAATTTCAATATAGAAAGTCGAATTTTGACGGAACCAAAAAATTTTAAAAAATTGAAAAAATTAAATTAAAAATTAGTTAAAGTATAATTTTAATCATACTTTAACCTAACTAATTTCAAATATTAAAATATAGTATTATATTTTTTTATAAAATTTTAATGGATAATTGTATTAATTAATTGTTGACTTATATATAAAAAATAGTTTATATTAACTTTTATTTTAATAGAAACTAATTTGGAACATTAAAATGCAAAAAAATAAAATAAAATAAATCTCAAAATGGAAAATGAAAATAAGCCATAATCAAGTACAAGAGTCTCCACAAAAATCAAAATATTTCCGGACACGTGGCGAATTTCATTGGTCAAAAGAGTCGCGGCTCTTGCTTTATAGGAATCCAACGGCCGATATTGCTCGGAAAATTAGACGAAAATTTAAGATAGGGCAAAAACGTAATTTCACAAAAGGAGAAAATGGTAATATCACCACGTGCTATTACAGTAATGGAAACCGAAGGCCTATTTATACGCAAAAACGAGCAAATTTCATCTCATAAACAAAAAAAAAAGAAAAAAAGAAAATAGAGAGTTTTTTTTAATAGAAAATTTTGATAGAAGGAGAGAGAGAGAGAGAGAGAGTTGTGGTTTATTGATCAATCGATGAGCAAATTTCTTCCAATTCAAATTCTCTTTCTCTTTCTCGCAGCAGTTTTTGATTGAGAGAGAGAGGAGGAGAAAAAAAAAAAAAAAAGAAGGAAGAAGGAAACCAGCCTTAGGGTTACCAGTTTTCTCTTTGGTTGTTTGTTTCTCGGGAAAATGGTGAGGGAATCGCCGAGAAAATGTTCCCATTGTGGATTGAATGGACATAATTCGCGAACATGCAGTAATTTTGCGAAGGGGAATAATAATAATAACTATTGCGTCAAATTGTTTGGAGTTAATTTGATGGATAATGGAGATGAATCTATGCGGAAGAGTCTCAGCATGGGGAATTTGAATATTCACGTATGTAATCACAACGCCGCTGCGGCCGGAAACAATGTCGCCTGTTATAATGCCGCCGTCGCTGACGACGGTGGCTATCTTTCCGATGGCCTTATTCATAACAAGAAACGCAAAGCCGCTCTTGAGAGGAAGAAAGGTACGTAATCGTTTTTTTTTCATTCAAGAAATTGCATCATAAATCCCTATGTATTCTGAGAAATTTGTGGAGAAAAAAGGAAAATCAAAGCGTTTGTATTGAATTTTAAGCCTATTAGTTTGATTAGCGGAAATGAATCTAACTCAATCGTTGATAATACGTATTAGTAGAGATGTCGAATTCGGAGAATTCGTAAATTGTACAGAGTATAAGTTTTGTGAGATAATGCAGGAAAGCCATGGACTGAGGAGGAACATAGAACCTTTTTGGCTGGTTTGAAGAAGCTGGGGAAAGGGGATTGGAGAGGAATTTCGAAGAACTTTGTGACCACACGAACACCCACGCAAGTAGCTAGTCATGCCCAAAAGTACTTTTTGAGGAAGATGAATGCGAACGATAAGAAGAAACGCAGAGCCAGTCTTTTCGACATCCCGGAAATCAAAGTAATAGTTTGTTTTCTCAACTGCTTCTTGACGTGTGTCTCGATCAACTTCCCAAATGATTTTAGCCATATTTGTTTTAAAAATTTATAAACACCACTTCTATCGGTAAGTTTCTTCGTTTTATTATCTACTTTGTGTCGATACCAATCTATTTTTCGAACGAAAAACGACCCGAAACTTCAAAAACTAAACATCGAAACTTAAATGGTTATCAAATCGGAGTTCTGCTGGAAAATTACTCTGTATATGCTTTTTAACTGTTGTTTACATTGTGTTATGTTTATATATACGTGTATAGAACAATGTTTCTCAAGAATGCCAAGCTTCATCGTCTTCAATGAGGGCTAATGGAGAAACGTCACAAATTCTGCTGCCAAAGAACAGTTCTGAGAATCAACAACAGGTGAAATTCTCATCTCTTTGATCAATTTCTGTTTATAATCTGTAAGAAATGGGTGAATTCAGCTGTTTTTACTGTATATGAACATGGTTACAGGTCAGTAATTTACCAACACAGCTTATCAATCGATTCCCTCATCTTTGTTTGGATACTCCTCATTTCGTGCCTTCAACAACTGGATCACCAGCCTCTGGTGTTGCAAATTTGCATGGGATTCCTTATGTGGTAATTATCTTGTTCTAATCTCGGATTAAAAACTTTAGCGTTTCTTAGTCATAGTAAAGAATAAGCATAATGAATGGCTTTTGGACGAGCAAAGTCGTCGTTTATTAGTAAGGCGAGAGCTTCAAGCTTGATTTCTAGTAGCGCACCCACACACAAGCACTACCCAACCAAGGGCAGACGAACCTTCTTTCTAAATGGGGTGCCCAGAGCACCTCATGGTGAACCAAATATGAACATAACGAGACACGGACGACTCGGTGTCCGGTACGTAAAACAGAACAAGTAGAGTAGGTGATGTAATGTAATGTTTGAATATGGTGACAGGTGGGAGTTTCCCCTAATAATGTTCCAATAATCCCTTTGGTGAAGCTGGGAAGGAGATCATCAGCTGTTATGGCAATGCCGAAGAGCCCAATAAGGACAAGCAGTCCGAATGCAGCAGCAGCAGCAGCAGCGTTGGTAGCCCATCCATCTGGTATTCCTCCTTCTCCAAGGTCTTCCCCTCAAAGACCGTTGATGGTGCAGTTGCAGGCTTCTGCCATGGCAGCCTCTTTTGAGACAGATGCTCTAGAGCTCAAGATTGGACTGCCCCAATCTCCACAGGCTAAGAACTTGTCTTCTCAAACTTCTGGAGCCATTAGAGTTATATGAACCAACAAGAAAAAAACAAAAATTAAAAATTAAAAAGAAATGTGAAATTCATCTTCTATAAGAAGGTTAATTAGAGTAAGAAAAAGTGTTATTTTTTTGAATGAGATGTTTGTTTTTGGCCTCCTCTCTATGCATGTAATAGGTAATAATTGATTTGTAAACCATATTCAATTCAATTTGATATCGTTTGCTTCAATCTTGTATGGATGGATTTTGCTTATAAGTTGTAGGGTAATAGACCATCCATATGATGAACACGGGTTGTTCACAAGAGCTTTAGCTCATTTTGTTGAGACATCAATTATCGTTTTAAAGGTCGATTATTTGACTTTTTTAATCATAATTGTTATGTTGAAAATTATTATATAATTTTCTTGATGAATTAAGTGTGTCAAATATTTTTGTAAATCTTAATTCGAAATTTTTTAATTTTTGTCTTCATTTTTACATTAATATTTATTTCATAAAACAATTACTAGCTTAATTT